GCGAGGAGCTGGCCCGCTCCATGCAGCCCGTCCATGCCCTGGCCAAGCAGATCCGCGAGCTCAAGCGGACCCTGGAGGTCTTCGAGGCGCTGTGCAAGTAGCAGCAGCCCCCCTGCTCCCACCCACCAGCCCCCAGCCCCTCCCCGAGACCCCTGGCATCCGGGCTCTCAGCTCACCAGTCCTCCCACCCCCCTGCCCCTCACGCCCTCCCCCCCAACCCATCATATCCCTCTCCCCTCCAGAGGAATCTATTTATTCTCCGTGATGTGCTGCTTGGCCCAGAGCAGGGGCTGGCGAGTGCCACCAAAGGGAGTCTTGTCCTTGTTTTCTGTGGGAGGAGAGCAAGGCTGGATTGCTCAAGGGATTTAGGTGCCTGCAGAGACACACTGGAGCAGGGGGACAGGTCTAGGGGCTGGTGCTGACCCAGGTGTAATTTCTTCTGATCCTGCCTTTCGTGGATCTCCGGCCTGCTTGGAGATGCCCCCGAACTTGCCCAGCCGCTGGCATTGGGATGTCTGGCCACCGGTCCCTGCCGGCTGTAAGTCCCGTTGGTGTCTTTTGTACGTCTGTGCGGTGCATCTCGCACTGGCTGCTCAGGGCTGCTGTGTGCCGGGCCCTGAGGTTATGCACAGTCCCCGCCTCAGTTTCCCTGCATCCTGCAGAGGATGGGGCTGGGCTGGCCATTAATAAAGCAAAGGCCTTTCTCATCCCGGCTCTTCCCTGGCTGGGGGCTATTGTGGGGACAGCAATCGTGGGCGGATGCTGATGTCCGAATCTTTGGGGTGCTCTGTGCTGGGGGGTCTTGGTGAAGGGAGAGGACAGCCCTGGGGTTACAGGCGGTCTTTTCAGCTCCTGAACCTCCTCCTTTCCACCCTGGGGTGGCCCATGACAGCGCTGGGCCAAGGCAGGAGTTCGGGGTGGTGTTTAAGCCCCCCCCCCAGTGGTATGAGTGTGTCGTGATCCCAGCTCTGCATGCACGGGTGTTGTTTGGCTTTGCTGAGGTTGGGAGGGGGCTGACCCGGGGCACGGGGTGCATGTGGCCCGGGGGACCTCTATGCATGGAACGGGGCTGCTTGGTCAGGCAGCCCGGTGGGATGTGGGGCAGGGAGCAGAAAGCAGAGCAGCAGGACTAGAGCAGCCTCTCCCCATGCCCATTCCCTGAGCCCAGGGACTCTTTGCTGGGCAGCCGTGGCACTCGGGTGGCCCAAGCTCCCTTTCAAAGTGGGCAGAGATTCACACCAGCAACTCGGAGCCTTCCCGTAGGGATCCCGCGTGCCGGAGGCAGTCTTGGGAGCTTGGCTCCCTTGTTTTCCCCTAGGCTGCAAGCCCACCAGAGAGTGGAGCGCCGGTGGCTGCCCAGAGGGCACTGGAGCCTAGCGCGGGGGTTTCTGAGCCTCAACGGAGGTGGGCGAACAACGGTGCAGCGCACGGTTCAGGTGGCAGGGCCGGGGCTCGGCTGCTGCTGGCATCAGGCAACCGGGGTTCCCTAGAGCTTGGCATAGCGTGCTGGAAGTGCGCTGCATGGCGGGGTGTGTTGACACGTTGTGCAGGGGCGGGACGCATGGCGTCAGGGGTCAGGGAATCGCTTGACGTGTGGGGGTGCTTCGCTGTGTGTTGGAGCGTGATGTCAGGTGTTGGAGCGTGGCATTGGGCGTGGGGGCCGGCTGTGCGTCGGGGTGTGATGTGTGTCAGGGCATGCTGTCATGTGTTGGGGCATGGTGTCGGGGGCACGGCACTGTGCATTGGTGCATGTTGTGTGTTGGGGGGTGATGCCAGGTGTGGGGTGCGTGCTTTCCTACCCTCCTAGCAAGAAAGTTCTTCCTCATATCCAACCCCAACTTCCCTTGCTGCAGCCTGAGCCCATTGCTCCTTCTGTCATCTGCCACCACTGAGAACAGCCCAGCTCCATCCTCTTTGGACCCCACTTTAGGTAGCTGAAGGCTGCTATTCAATCCCCGCAGTCTTCTCTTCTCCAGACTAACCAAGCCCGGTTCCCCCAGCCTCTCCTCACCAGTCCTGTCCCCCAGCCCCTCAACCATTTCCATTGCCCTCCGCTGGACTCTCTCCGATCTCTCCACATCCTTTCTGTAGCGGGGGGCCCACAGCTGGACACAGGACTCCAGATGTGGCCTCCCCAGTGCTGGATAGAGGGGAAGGATCACTGCTCTCGATCTGCCGGCAATGCTCCTACCAATGCCATAGGTGGATAAGTGGAGGGATACATGGGTGGGTGGACGGATGGATGGATGCACAAGCACATGGACAGTCGGGTGGCTGGATGAGGAGATGGTTCCCTCCATCTGCCGGCAAGCCTCCCACTCACACAGCCCCAGTGGCCCGTAGCCTTCTTCACAAGTAAATCGTTGTTATGATCTTGTTGGGGCTGGTCCTGCTCAGAGCAGGGGTTGCACTAGATGTGACCTCCTGACGCCCCTTCCAGCCCTCATGGCCTATGACTCCAAGTACCAACCTCCCAGACCTATCTGCCTGTGGCTTTGGATGCTCCCCAGACCCGAAATGCAACCCCCAGCCCCAGAGGCCTTGGCCTCCAGATCCCCCCAGGCTCCCTTGCTCTCAGCCAAAAGGCCACAATATTGGGTACATGATACTAGGCCCAAGCCAAAAGACAGAGGATGCCGGCTCTTCACTCTCAATCATTTACTGACAACAGAGAAGCACTAGAGCAGTCTCCTCTTGCAGAGACCTCAGGCAGGCCCTGCTAGTGGAAATCTCAGCATTGGGCGCGTCAATAGTGTCTGCACATCTCATGCAGCCACGGCACCCTTGGGAGGATCTCGGGGCCCCCACCTCCAGACGCCGAGGGTCGTGGTTCGTGACGGCAGTGCGGGGTGGGGGAAGTGCCTGGGGTCTTTCAGCCCCACTGGCTGCTTGGGGTGGGCCAGGTGCTCCATGCTGGCCCCAGGACCCAGGAGGGAGAAGCAGGAGGGCTGGAAAACAGACCCTTGAAATAGCGCTAGCACCATTGGAAAGAGCCAGGCCGCTCGTTTTGAGGCTTCGAAGTGTTGGGAACACCAGGACCCGGTCCTGTCCAGGCTGGCTGGACGCTGGCTCCAGTTCTGGGCCCCGCATGTGAAGGAGGATGTGGATGGATTGGAAAGAGCCCAGGGCAGTAAAACTCATCCAGGGCCTGGGGGGCAGGACAGAGAGGGCCAGGCTGGAAGAGCTGGGACGAGCGAGTCTGGAGAGGAGGAGACTGATGGGGGATCTGATCCCCGTCTCCCCAGCCCTGAAGGGCAACGACAGAGGAGTTGGAGATGCGCTTTTCTCTGTGGCCGCACAGGACGGGACAGGGAGCAATGGCCTCAAGCTGCAGCAGGGGAAACTGAGGCTGGAGACAAGCAGGGATTTGTTGACCCCGAGGGTGATTGAGGATCAGAACAGGCTGCCCAGAGAGTGGGGAGTCTCCATCCCTGGAGGTTTCCAACAGCAGGATGCGCAGACCCGTGGTGGAGTCCGCGAGGGTCCTGCCTGGAGCAGGGGCTGGACCAGACGGGAGGTCCCTGCAGCCCCGCTCTCCCCACAGAACCTCTCTTCGGGTCCAGAGCGGGGATCCCAGGCTGTAGCATGGGGGGGGAAAGTCCAGCAGCGATACAGGCTAAAACAGGGGTGGGCAAAATGCGGCCCATGGGCTGGGTGGGGTCTGCCAGGCCATTGTATCCGGCCTGTGGAGCCCTCAAAATTTAGAAAATTAATATTTAGTTGCCCCCGGCTGCCTGTCCTGCGGCCCTCGATGGCTTGCCAAAACTCAGTAAGCGGCCCTCTGCCCAAAATAATTGCCCTCCCCTGGGCTAAAAGAGGCCTGTGCCTGCACCATGCTGACTGTACTGGCACGATGGACCCCGCACCGTGGCAGCGTACCCAGTGACTGGGACCAGGCTCCCTGGCTCGGCCTCCAGCAGCAGCAGGGAGCAGCACGCGTGTGCAGACGACGCAGGTTTGGCTCTTC